TCTTTGTTCCTTCTGGTCGGCCATCTCACTAATCGCCAAAGGGTTGAAACAGGAACGCACACAACAGAGCGCCACAGACAAACCACTTAACTCAGACTGACGCCAGCTCACTAACAGTCGCGGGAGACCCCCAGCTAACACCACCTAGCAGCACAACTCGTAACTACAAAGCATGCGCGCGCAACAGGTCGTTTCTGGTTATTTTTGGGTCCCCCTTCATACATTGCGTACATAGAGATTAGAAGTTATATACAAAAGTATGTACTTAATGGCAATTTGAGTAAGATGTAAGATGCAGCTCCACTCTTAAACGTGAAATGAGGAAAACTGTTAAACTGAGGAACACTTTATAATACTGCACATTTCAGTAACCAGAAAGGTGCTGAGTTGGCAATAAAGCCCACAACTTCAGCCCTCAGAATGCTATAACTTGCTCTGTGGTCAGGGCTGTCCCGCAAGAAGCTTGACCAAAATTACAAAATATTTTTGAGATAATATATACATCCATAGACCCAGCCTGTGGAGTGGGCATAATGAAAAGTAAGGGGAGTATGGCTAGAAGTAGCAGGACGGTGGTTGCAGTTGGCATTGTGGGATGGGGGAAGTGTGTTTCACCGTGAGTAAGATCTTGTTATAATGCATACACACCCTGCATTCCTTACCACAGTGGACCTGCCAGAATCCACTGCAGGCTCCGTTGACAGCAGGCAGGAATAAAGGCACAGAGTATCTTGTACGCATTCTTTGATTTGCATCAGGGGTCAGGAAATAGTTGGCTACTGGCTGCATGGATTGGGTTTGTTTCTGGCTGATGCAATTGAATATTTTTCTTTATCACTATGTCCAGGATAACTGTGGTGTCACCAAACTGAATCTGTGAATCTTCATGGTGTGTTCAAATAGGAGAATTTTTTATCTAATTGTACTATTTCATATCATGTGGAAATTCATACTGATCTTAATTTCATGCATCCTGCTGTGCTACAATATACAACTCTTTAATGAACCTTCACAACACAGCAAATAGTAAAACATCAAAGTCAGCGTTCAGCTGTGGCTTTGCTACATGTTTTGGCCACTATCAGCCATCATCAGGCAAATACATATCAACAAAATCTACCATTTAACTGCAATCAACTGCAACTGGAAAGTTTGACATGCAATAAGGACAGTTCTTCTTAATGACAAGGCAGCATTACACAATTCAGTAATTGCTACACCATGGGCCTCTCTTAAAAACTTCTATATAAAGTAATATCGAATTTCCCTATTTATGGAAATGTGCACAAAGTATATCCAATGACTGATTCAATGTTTTTGAAAACATCATTAATATTGTCACGTATCGCGGGGTATAAGGCGACAAATAACTTCACGATGTATTTGATGTAGCGAATTTTATTTCACATCCACTCACAATCACCCAAATTACAGATTCACGATTACTGGTATCTGCAGTATCACAAATAGTACACTCCAAATGCCAGAATAAAACTGACTAATTGCTGGCTAACTTGGAACTAAGGCAGCTCGAGGACTGACTCGTAGGTAGCTCCAGGACTCGCTGACTGTCACAGTACAACTGACTGTGAATAGCCTTCGCTGCTCCTTATGTAACCTTGATCGGACAATACGGCCACGTAATAGGCACCCTTGTTGCCTGGCGCTGTGTTGCTATGTAACGCTAGCGGAAGTAACCGCTGTTACTACC